CTTTATAGCTCAGTGGTAGAGCGTTGGTCTTGTAAACCAAAGGTCGGTAGTTCAATCCTGCCTGGAGGCAAAATTTTTCACATCCTACAGATCAAAATTTCGTCATGAGACTGTTCTCACAATCAGAGAACACTGAATGATGATCATCTTCCTCTGTCATGCCTTTATAGCTCAGTGGTAGAGCATTGGTCTTGTGAACCAGAGGTTCGTTTGTTATATCTTGCCTGGAAGCAAATGTTTTCACATCGTACAGTTCGGGATTTTGGCATTAGAGTGTTTTCGTCATCAGAGAACACTGAATGATGATCATCTTTGTTTGCCAAGCCTTTATAGCTCAGTGATAGAGCATTAGTCTTGTGAACCAGAGGTTCGTTTGTTATATCTTGCCTGGAAGCAAATGTTTTCACATCGTACAGTTCGGGATTTTGGCATTAGAGTGTTTTCGTCATCAGAGAACACTGAATGATGATCATCTTTGTTTGCCAAGCCTTTATAGCTCAGTGATAGAGCATTAGTCTTGTGAACCAGAGGTTCGTTTGTTATATCTTGCCTGGAAGCAAATGTTTTCACATCGTACAGTTCGGGATTTTGGCATTAGAGTGTTTTCGTCATCAGAGAACACTGAATGATGATCATCTTTGTTTGCCAAGCCTTTATAGCTCAGTGATAGAGCATTAGTCTTGTGAACCAGAGGTTCGTTTGTTATATCTTGCCTGGAAGCAAATGTTTTCACATCGTACAGTTCGGGATTTTGGCATTAGAGTGTTTTCGTCATCAGAGAACACTGAATGATGATCATCTTTGTTTGCCAAGCCTTTATAGCTCAGTGATAGAGCATTAGTCTTGTGAACCAGAGGTTCGTTTGTTATATCTTGCCTGGAAGCAAATGTTTTCACATCGTACAGTTCGGGATTTTGGCATTAGAGTGTTTTCGTCATCAGAGAACACTGAATGATGATCATCTTTGTTTGCCAAGCCTTTATAGCTCAGTGATAGAGCATTAGTCTTGTGAACCAGAGGTTCGTTTGTTATATCTTGCCTGGAAGCAAATGTTTTCACATCGTACAGTTCGGGATTTTGGCATTAGAGTGTTTTCGTCATCAGAGAACACTGAATGATGATCATCTTTGTTTGCCAAGCCTTTATAGCTCAGTGATAGAGCATTAGTCTTGTGAACCAGAGGTTCGTTTGTTATATCTTGCCTGGAAGCAAATGTTTTCACATCGTACAGTTCGGGATTTTGGCATTAGAGTGTTTTCGTCATCAGAGAACACTGAATGATGATCATCTTTGTTTGCCAAGCCTTTATAGCTCAGTGATAGAGCATTAGTCTTGTGAACCAGAGGTTCGTTTGTTATATCTTGCCTGGAAGCAAATGTTTTCACATCGTACAGTTCGGGATTTTGGCATTAGAGTGTTTTCGTCATCAGAGAACACTGAATGATGATCATCTTTGTTTGCCAAGCCTTTATAGCTCAGTGATAGAGCATTAGTCTTGTGAACCAGAGGTTCGTTTGTTATATCTTGCCTGGAAGCAAATGTTTTCACATCGTACAGTTCGGGATTTTGGCATTAGAGTGTTTTCGTCATCAGAGAACACTGAATGATGATCATCTTTGTTTGCCAAGCCTTTATAGCTCAGTGATAGAGCATTAGTCTTGTGAACCAGAGGTTCGTTTGTTATATCTTGCCTGGAAGCAAATGTTTTCACATCGTACAGTTCGGGATTTTGGCATTAGAGTGTTTTCGTCATCAGAGAACACTGAATGATGATCATCTTTGTTTGCCAAGCCTTTATAGCTCAGTGATAGAGCATTAGTCTTGTGAACCAGAGGTTCGTTTGTTATATCTTGCCTGGAAGCAAATGTTTTCACATCGTACAGTTCGGGATTTTGGCATTAGAGTGTTTTCGTCATCAGAGAACACTGAATGATGATCATCTTTGTTTGCCAAGCCTTTATAGCTCAGTGATAGAGCATTAGTCTTGTGAACCAGAGGTTCGTTTGTTATATCTTGCCTGGAAGCAAATGTTTTCACATCGTACAGTTCGGGATTTTGGCATTAGAGTGTTTTCGTCATCAGAGAACACTGAATGATGATCATCTTTGTTTGCCAAGCCTTTATAGCTCAGTGATAGAGCATTAGTCTTGTGAACCAGAGGTTCGTTTGTTATATCTTGCCTGGAAGCAAATGTTTTCACATCGTACAGTTCGGGATTTTGGCATTAGAGTGTTTTCGTCATCAGAGAACACTGAATGATGATCATCTTTGTTTGCCAAGCCTTTATAGCTCAGTGATAGAGCATTAGTCTTGTGAACCAGAGGTTCGTTTGTTATATCTTGCCTGGAAGCAAATGTTTTCACATCGTACAGTTCGGGATTTTGGCATTAGAGTGTTTTCGTCATCAGAGAACACTGAATGATGATCATCTTTGTTTGCCAAGCCTTTATAGCTCAGTGATAGAGCATTAGTCTTGTGAACCAGAGGTTCGTTTGTTATATCTTGCCTGGAAGCAAATGTTTTCACATCGTACAGTTCGGGATTTTGGCATTAGAGTGTTTTCGTCATCAGAGAACACTGAATGATGATCATCTTTGTTTGCCAAGCCTTTATAGCTCAGTGATAGAGCATTAGTCTTGTGAACCAGAGGTTCGTTTGTTATATCTTGCCTGGAAGCAAATGTTTTCACATTCTTTAGATCGTAATTTTGTGATGAGACAGTTTACAAAATCAGAGAACACGAATTGATGACCATCTTCCTCTGCCATGCCTTCAAAGCTCAGTGATAGAGCATTAGTCTTGTGAACCAGAGTTTCGTTTGTTATATCTTGCCTGGAAGCAAATGTTTTCACATCGTACAGTTCGGGATTTTGGCATTAGAGTTTTTTCGTCATCAGAGAACACTGAATGATGATCATCATTGTTTGCCATGCCTTTATAGCTCAGTGGTAGAGCGTTGGTCTTGTAAACCAAAGGTCGGTTGTTCAATCCTGCCTGGAGGCAAATGTTTTCACATCGTACAGTTTCGGATTTTGTCATTTGTGTGTTTTCAAAAGCAGAGAACACTAAATGATGATCATGTTCTTCTGGCATGCCCTTATAGCTCAAGAGGTAGAGCGTTGGTCTTGTGAACCAGAGGTTCGTTTGTAAAATCCTGCCTGGAGGCGAATGTTTTTACATCGTACGAATCTAGATT